GTTATTATTAATATTATTACATCATTTTTAGTCATTTTCAAAACATAAGTTTTTTTATTATGCAAGCAAATGAAGACAAATAATAGAGAATAACCAAAATATTTACTTTTTGTGAGAATATACACAAAGTATAGTATAGCCATACATATTTAAAATACGGAATATCCGAAACATTTATCACCGCAGTAGGAAATATATACGCGACATATACATGTACATATACAAAAAGTAGTGACTGCCTATTTTAGGTATCACCTAGGTGTGTTTGGGCAGCGTAACGACATGGTTAAGGGTGGCTTAGGAAATGTTTTGGACGGTTAAAGGTGGCTTCTAAGCTTGCTATATGCTGGCAGAGGGATTGCTAGGGAAATGGCTCCCAAGTTGTATCCTGCCGTAGCCTTTTCAGACTGACTGGATACCTCGAGATCATCCTCGGATCCGAGTTCAACTTGGTTAGAAAGTTTTGCGTGACTACCACTACTGTGGAGGTCACGGTACTTCTTTCAATTTTCTAAAGGGATAGCTCGGGCATAGAGCTTTTATGCATGAATGCAGAATTAAATTGCGAAAATATAATTGCGCAAATAAGCAAGTAAACACCCAACATTTAATAGGAAAATATAAAACTTATCGAACTTAATTATGTAGCTCGACTCTCGAAGTCCCCAGCGGAGTCGCCAACTGTCGAAACCGTCCCGTCCGGGGGGGGTCCGAATGTCGTCGCGTCGGCATTTTTGGGAGTCGCCATCGATCTTACTTGGAGTGGATCGAACACTCTTCAAATCGGCTCTAACCTTAGTGTCAGAACCGAGGCATGGTCTGCGAAAATAAAGTTCTGGGTTCGGGAGTACGGTTACGTGTGGGGAAGTTAAGCAACACCCCCACAACGCCCTAAATCGGTACTACTTAAGTCGATAAGTTTTTATGCGAGTTGGGTGTATTTTAGTAAAATTTTTCAATTTTTAGGGTCCCACTGGACTATTTAAGAAATTAAATCGTATTAATTGTAATTTAATTATACGTCCACTGACGTAAAAGATAAAGTTAATTGGTTAGTTGGACTCGAACCTTATCGGTTGCTTACGTACCCGTAAGACGGGATCAAAGTCCACGTAGTTCGTTAGGACTTTGAAAATTTTATATAAAATTATTACCACATTCCATTGATCGTGGTTCTCGTATCAAAATTTATTGTTAGTAAAATTTAAGTTGGTATTATGAAATTACAAAAAGATAATATAATAATTGTAATTATTAAGAGGAGTTTTGATATATTAGGAAAGAAACGAGATAAACTTAATCCGCAATTCTTCATTTCGTATTAAGGATTTTAAATGAATAAAACTATACGGGATTATAATATTGACGCATGAGGGCCAGCAGCCCAACTGGCTAAAACGCCAGACCACTCCCGCGTTTGAACCGGAGGACGTGGGTTCGAAACGCGCTGGTGGAGAAATTTTTAATTTTTCTCGTTTTGATGCAGAGAAGGGGGAAGGGCATCCTAGTAATTTCACGAAAACGCGGTGGCAGGACATGTAATTTGCGAGAAACCCTAGGGGCAAAATCGACATTTACCGGTGAGTATAAAATCATCTCTTTGGACCCAAAAAAAAAACCCTAATCGTATTCTAAGGCTAGCGGCGGCCGCTCATCCCTCTCTCTCTCTCGGCCGATCTCTCTTCCTCTCCCGAAACAAAAAAACGAAACCCTAGCCTAATCAAAACCCGCCGGCGCTGCTCTCCCTCTCCTTCTAGCCTCTCAACCGCCGATCCCTCTCCTCCCTCGTCTCTCGCCTCCCTATCTCCCGCTAATCCCTACCTCGAAACGAAAACCCTAATCACTTAACCATCCGAACAACGCCGCCATCTACATCTTCTCCTTCTCGCGTTCTTCATGTAAATCGAGAAAAGGAGATGAGCCTTCTTCATATTTAATCTATCTCCCCTTCTCCTTATTCTGGAAACGAGTGGTGACGGGGAAAAGAAGCGGCGGCGGCGGCGACGACTGAGGATGAGCGCTGCCAACACCAGCAGTGACGATGACGACTAGGGTTTTCCAAAGGTTAGGTTTTTTTTGGCTTGCATGTAAGATTTTTACCATTTTTCGATTTCGATTTTAAGATTTTCTATGTTCTAAACCTATTTCTTGCTTTTCTTTCAGAGACCGATCCAAAACCGAGGAGGGACTCTTGATTTACTTTCTAATAATCTCGATCTACTCTTTCTAGTTGGAGCAGAGGCGACGACGAGATCTTACCCTCTGGTAAGCTCTTTCCTACATGCATGCCCATTTTCATTGGATTTAATGGATGAGATTGGGATTTAACTTGTTTTGTTTTTTTTTGTTTATGTTTTTTTTATTATTTGGACCTCCGCCGAGAGAAGGGAGGAGCGGCGGTCGCCGGCGGCGCGGCCAGCGCCAGAACCGACGGCGAGGGTTTTGTTTGGGGGTAAGTTGTTTGTTTTATTTTTTTATTCTCGTTTTTTACCTATTATCATTTTTGGGGTTCTAACTCTCGATTTCCTAATTTTGCAGATCTTATTCAATTTGAAGGAAACTAGGTGATACCCCTTCTAAACCTAAAATGGGTGGTTTAATTATCGTTATGATTGTTTATAGAACTTTCTGGTGTTGTGAAAGTAAATTTTGTTAGACCTCCTAGGTTTGTTTAGCCTTAATGTTTGGTTTTGGATATGGTGGTGAACTTGCTTTATTAAAATTCGACAATCTATAATGGTCCTAAAAGTAATACGACATCATAGCTACTGCTATTGACTATCGATTGGTTAAACAACTTGATTAAAAGGGCTAATACTGATTAGTAACAAATGAGACTTTTAATGAGAGTGTTTTATTGTATTTAGCATACAAAATAATAATCAAATGAGAACTTCGTGATTACCAAATCTGGTAATTGAGTTAAAAGGGCGCCCTTACAACCATCAAATGAGGTATTTTAAAATACTCTCTCAAAAATCTAGTTTGGGTCCTATTTTTATGTTTTGAATAGATTGTTGGATTTTTTATGTGTTGAATGAGTAAACGGGTTAGCCTAGTTGATATTATTGCTAAGTTCACCTAACAATTTAACCTGAATCATGCTTGCTAGAAAAACAGGGAATAATTTAAGCTAATTTATTGTATGTTGACTATAAATGGAAGCGGTCTCTTGTGGTATGTAACAAAAATTAAAAATGAATGGTAAAGAGAAACATACATATCACAAAGATCAGGATTTCATAATACCCCCTTTTACATACAAACTTAAGCAACTCAGCCATGGATTATAAACTTAGAAGTATCATATGTTAAGTAGATCTTCTACATGGATGTATAAATAACTAGGATGCTTGTACGGTTAATGGGGTGTAGAGAATACCAACCTGTGTTGTGATTGAGTGGATTTTGATGGTGATGGCTCGTTGCTGTTTCTGACTCCCTGCCCTTTTTGGATCCTTAGTGCTTCTGTCTTTTTGGTGCTTAGTGCTCTTTAATGCTCTTTGTCTCCCTTTTTGTCTGTTTTTTGTTGTTGGTCCTCCCCCCCTGTTTGGGGGTAAAACAGCTCCTTATATATGGCTGCCTTTTACTGTTCATACCTGTGTGTTGGCTGCTCCTCCTTTGCTCTTGAAGTGGTAGCCTTAGCCACTTATGTTGTTGGCAATTTGGGATTGGTTCTTGGAGGAGGTGGCCGAAATCTTCTTTTTTAGATTTGGCAGAGACTCTGCTGTTCTGCTGCTCTGCTACTCTGCTGCTCTTTTAGATAAGAATGATGGGTTTGGTTGACGGGGTTGACCAGAGTTGGCCCGGGCTGACCATACTTGATTGGGTTGACCCAGGTTGACCAGGTTGACCAGGGTTGACCAGAGTCAATTGGGCCTGAATATGGGCCTGGGTTGTGGGTTTTTATTTTAGGTTGCTCTTCTAACATTTTCTTTTTTTTGTTTGCAGGTCCCTAGTCCGTTTCCGGCCCAAAATGATGATCAATGGGGGTCCAAACAGCCTTAATTGGCTAAGCCCCCAATTCTGATTGGTGCCCAAAAGCAGAATTTTTATTTTTTTTTATTTTTTTTAATTGTATAATTACAAGGTGTATCTTAAATGTCACGGATTGTAATATGTAATTACACATTTGTTTATTTATGTCCTTGCCTTTAGAATTAGATGATCATTGTATGTATTACTCAATCATTCAATTGATTATTTCAAACCAATTCGTTAACTACAATCGTGACCAATATCCCAACTTCTAAGTAAATTATTCTTAGTTATGAATCGTGACCAATACCCCATTCAACCAATTTCTAGACCTATATCACCAATCGTTAACAATAATACCGGTATAAGTCGTGACGGCATACTATTGCTATTCTAAATAAAGCGAATTTGGTAGCCATTAGCCACTGCTAATCCTACCTAGTACAAATATTCGAAATGAATAGAAAGAAAGACTTGGAAAACGTTGGTATTTATTGATTCGCCACCGCTAATCTCAACCAACCTTATCTAAACTTTCACTTGGGTTTTCTTTTCTAATTTTACATGGAATATTCTTCCGAATTTTGAGTAGGATAGTTGCTCCGGACAAAATGTGGTGTCTACAGATGGAGATAGCTACCGTGATGGATGGTGCACAGGCTAGCAGGGAGGAGTGTCATGCTAGGTCCGATGAGTACTATGACTTATGTCATGGAGTTGGGAACATGTGGTCCGAGTTTAGGGGGAGGTCGGATTTTCTACCTCATCCACGGTAGTTTGATGATTGTTATGTGTTATTTATGAATGTCATTTGTTGTTTTTAGACTATGACTTATGTTATTCTGTTATTCTCCTACGACTTATGTTATATTCTGTTGTTCTCCTACGACTTTTATTATTCCATGTTTCTGACTTATGTATATCTATTGTACTTGGGATGTTTTTATTATATCATGTAGTAAAACAACATGTTTCCTTGTGGTGTAAGCAACCTGAGATAATTGGATATTTTTATTATTGAATCATGGTCCTTGACTCCTTGCTGCTTTTTTCGTTGCCTCTGTCCCTCTGCGTACAGCCTCATCAACCAACTCCTGAAGGTGGCGTTTAGCTTCATCTTTGTGGGGCGCATACTCCTGGGCATTGGGTGGGTGCTCATATGACAGTGTCTGCCAAAATAGATGAAGATCACCCGGATATATCTCTATGTCTCGCGCCCTGTCATCCATAACCTGACATCTACACTTCAAGCTGTGTGTCACAGAGAAATGACATGCACATCGGGAGTTCTCTTTTTTTTTCAAACGGGCCGCCAAATCTTCTTCAACCTCCTTCATCAGTATAATTGCATGCGTGTTGACCTTCATCCTCAAGTATGTGAAGGGTGTACCATCAGCTGCTGAAAGGATTTTCTGTCGAGAGTTTTCAACATCATCCTAACCTCCCCGAGTTGTTAGTAATGTAGTGGTGGTTTCCTTTCCGTACAGTGTCTACAGACCCCCCGCGAGTTGTGAAGGAAAGTTTTCAATGATGAATGTGATGACTCAACCATGTTTGTGCTTGTATTTCCTAGATGAAAAACATGTTTGGTATGACAAACTGCCCACTTCTCTCGATGCGGCTACCACACTCCATGTATGTATTGCAACAGACGTAAATCGTCATTGCCCCATCTCGCCCTAAAGGGGGAAAACACAACCAACATAGCTTGCTCGGACCAAGAATAAAGCATAGGACACCAACCGTCATTGTAAGCCTCGTTAACCAAATCCATCTTGTACATCCCGAATATTTCCAAAAACTTCTTCTGCACATTAGTGTTGATGTGCCAAACACATAGCAAATGCGGGGTGTAGGGGAAGACACCAGAAACTGTAGCAAGTAGTCCACCTTCGTGGTTGGTGATGATGTCAGTGGGCACGCGTGGATGGAGCAATTGTTTTATGCACACCAACAACCAATGATACGCCTCTTTTGTCTCCTCCTTCATGAGTATGTTGAAATTCTTCCCAACGGGAGTAGCACCTACGACCTCCACCCACGGCATTTTATATGCATTGGTCTTATACGTTGAGTCGATCAGAATCACGTACGGCCAAGCCTTCAACATCTGGATGGAAGTCGGATGGGCAAAAAAAGATGGGTCGACACGTCGTTATCGTCTTTCATAACCTCTATATGATAATTCTCACGTTCAGCTGCTTGCAACGCATACTGGAGTGCATTCATCTCGCCCATGTCGTCTCTCCTAGACTTGGACCCAAGGTTATACATTTTCCTGCTGGTGTGATGCCCTTTGTCACCCTTTTGCATGTTTATTATCTGCTTCCGTTGCGCCGGAGATATCCAGGCATCTCTCATCTGCTTCAGAGATTCTTTATCCTCCTGACTGAATTTCTTCACCTGACTGTGGCCCTCTGGATAAAGCATCTTCTCATGATTGTGATACCTTCGCCTCCTACCGGTTTTTTACTCAACCACTTCTTGTATCTCCCAGAATGTCGGTCCATTAAGAGCATTTGGATCAACAAGTAGTTCTTTGATTTTAACCCTGAACATGCAACCGCTCCCTTTTGAACTTGTATTGCCACGACTCTCCTTGGAAGGATCCGGCTTGTATGACTTCCTCTCCCTACTGCATTTGTCGCAATACATATAACACATACATAGCATTCTTTTGTTACGCAACTCACGTAGCTTCATCGAGCCCTTAATTAGAAAGAAACCAAGAGACATTCCTATCCCAAGTCGGATAAACCGACTCATAAAAGACAAAAGATAGATAGATTGGGGTCGGGACGGAAATCAATTTTTCTTTTTCTTTTGCTTTCTGAAATTGGGGAGAAGTGTTTGTTTGGGTGTGTCTTATTGTAATTTTGTATTGATGACATCATATTTAATTAGTTATGAAAAAAATTATGTCCAAATTAAAAAAAAATTATATCAAAATGTTCGTATTAATTAATTATCACTACATATGTAAAAAAATTAGCATCATATCAAAATAAAGTGACGAAATTAACTATAGATTAATTTTACCTAAAAAATGCTCAACCATTTACCCCATTTTCCCACTCCCCACATTGTGACCAAACTCTTCCCTCCCTCCTCTTTTTCTTATTTTCCCACCCTCCTTTCCCTCCCACATTGTGAGTGGTTTAAGGATGAATATAAAGTTAAGCAACAATGTTACACCATGCACCTTCAAAAGGAAAAGGACGCATGTTAGAGAGGTTGTCAGAGATTCTACTATAATAAAATAGGTAGTTACCCAAGAACCACTACACCACCATAAAACCTCAATCATATCTATAAAATCGCTACTAATATAAACCATTGTTATTCAGAATTATCACCACAAATCTAAAAACATTACTACAAATATGGAAAATTACTAATACATAACTATAATAACTCTCATTGTCACTATAGATGTTATTGGGAGATCTGGTGATCCGCCAACGTAGAGAGATGTTGGGGTAGAAGAGATCGATGCGGCGGCATCACGGCGGCGTTCCGCGGTTAGATGAGATCCGCCAACGTTGTAGAGATCCGACAACTTTGACGGCTGAAAGAGATAGGACGACATGACACGGTGTTGGTGTGACAGATCTGGTTATCGAGGGCGAGTCCGGCACAGGCAATGGCAACGCGGTCGATGGCGAGTCTGGTACAGGCGATGGTGTCACAACGGAGATGGAAGAGGCAGGGAAGAGACGGTTTCAGATGGGAGAAGTATATTGTTTCTGGCGAAGAGGGAGAGGAACAGACGTGGGCGGCTGAGTGAGAGGGACGTATCCGGTCAGTAACCTTCTAGTGAGTAACCATGCATACCTCAATCACCATCCGCCAAATCAGCGCATCTTCTCTCTCCTGGAAAGCCTTTAATCCCCCCCCCCCCTCCTAATCTTTAAATTTAAATTTTTTTACACAGTTAGATCAGATTAATTGTGCTCTTTAAAATTATATTCACTTTGAAATATTTTTGGAACAAAAAAAATATTGAGCCATTTTTAACCAGTCTATACCATATGGTATTGACTGGTATTGAAATAAGAGTATCATGGTGGTATGAACATACCAAGACTGTAGGATGGTTGAATATAAGATAATAGGAGTATACTAACTGTCATTTATGACTTTTAACATTGTGTACCACAAGATACCACCCTGTAGCAGGGTGGTATTGTGTGGTATTTTTTTGTCTTGTATTTTGTTCGCCCAGAAATTTTTAGATCCAATATATCATGATGAACTCGTTTCTTTTGTGCAATTTTTTAAAAACGACTTAAAAACGAAGAAGATGTCATATGATATGCAGTTGGTAATGAGAGGCAAGAAAATTTTTTCTCAAAAAATATTAAAAATGGATCTCATTTTGTAGAGCATAACGAACTCGTTCCACCTGTGCAAAAAAAAATTGAAATCCAAATTAAAACGAAGAATATATGAGTCGATTAAGAAAATGAGGAAAAATAAAAATGTCTTTAATTCTCCGCACTTAAATATGAGTTTTCTTAATCAATGGTCTATATTTAGTTACTAATAGCCATAGGTGGGAATGGATCAGGTCAGTAACCTTATCGTGATTAACCATGAGTAACCCGTCCACATCAGCATGACATCAGCATCCTCTCTCTCCTGGAAAACCTTTAATTTTCCCTTCTTTAATCTTTGACGGACGATTTCTCACTCATTTTAAGTTGAAATTTAATTTTTTTTTTTTGCACAGTTAGATCAGATTAATTGTGCTCTTCAAAATGATATCCACTTTAATATATTTTTCGAACAAAAAAAATTGAGTCATTTTTACCAGTCTATACCATATGGTATTGACTGGTATTGAAATAAAAGCATACCTATGGTTTGAAAAACGTACCATGGTGGTATGAACAAACCAAGACTGTAGGATGGTTGAATACGTGATAGTAGAAGTATATTAATTATCATTTACGACTTTTAACATTGTATACCACACAATACCACCACGTACCAGGGTGGTATTGTATGGTATTGTGTGGTATTTTTTGGTCCTATAATTTGTTCACCCAGAAATTTGTAAATCCAATAGATCATGATGAACTCGTCCCTTCTGTGCAAATGTTTTAAAAAATGAATTAAAAACGAAGAAGATACCATACAATACCACCCCGTACCAGGATGGTATTGTATGGTATTGTGTGGTATTTTTTGGTCCTGTAATTTGTTCACCCAGAAATTTGTAGATCCAATAGATCATAATGAAATCGTCCCTTCTATGCAAACTTTTTCAAAAACGAATTAAAAACGAAGAAGATACCATATGGTATGCAGTTGGTACCGAGAGGTTAGAATTTTTTTTCTCAAAAAATATTGAAAATTGATCTCATTTGGTAGCGCACGATGAACTCGTTACATCTGTCCAAAAAAAAAAATCCGAGTTAAAACGAAAAAGATATGAGTCAATTAAGAAAGCTAGAAAAAATAAAAAAAAGGTCTGTAATTCTCCTTCCTTAGGTCTGGATTTTCTAAATAAAAGGTCCAGATTTGGTTATTGATGAGTGCATAACTCTTAGGGTTAGATTTGGTTATGCACCCTATCTTGAGCCGCCATAGGTGCATAACTCATTGTTATGTTCGATTGAGATATGGAAGGTAAAAAGTGTATTTATACTAGGGTTTAAAAATATATTAACTAACTACGCTCTATTTAATTCTGACCCTAGAATTAGTTTTTTAATCTAACTGTAATAAACTTAGTTGGTATGATCCTAACCCTTAGGGTTAGGACTAAATTCATCCCCAAGCGAAAGCAGCCCAAAACGGAACAAGCAAAGAGGTACTTGCAAGTTGCAACGCGTTGGTCCAAGATAGCGTCAGTAATCACTGGTTACTGACCTATCAATAACCACTCGGGAGCCGTAGATGTGGGGATGGAGCGATCGTGTGGCTGGACCGGATGGGGGGGTGGGGAGGGGCATTTTTGTCCGTTTTTGTATTTTTAATTTTTTTTATTTATTCTGCATTTCAATGACTGACTTTTCAATGAAAGAGAGAGAATTGTCTTTTCTCTGCAACTCAACTTTCTTCCTTCTCTCTTTCTTTTTTCAATCTCTTTCCAGATCCTTTCTCTTTCTCTATTCCTTCTCTCTTACTTTTTCTCTCACAATCTTCTTTTCAAATCTAGATCTGCTCTCTTCCTTCTTCATTTTTTTTCTCTAGCAATGGACGATTAAAAATTGTAGCCACTCTCTTTCATTGTATTTCTTCTCTTCATCAACTCGTTGGCCTCAATTCCGATCGTTCTCATTTTTTTGGCATTTTGGTGTTCTTGATTGAGGAAGAGGAAATGAGAGGCATCAGAAGACGATTTTTTCTCTCCCTCCTTCTGTTTTTTTTTTCTTTTAGATAATATATATTGATATTATGACTCTATACCATATGGTATTGGGTGGTAACGAAATATATATTGATATTACCACACTATACCCTATGGTAATGTATGGTATTGCGTGGTAACGAAATATATATTGATATTACCATTCTATACCATATGGTATTGTGTGATATTAGCACTCTATACTATATGATATTGTGTGATAACGAATATATATTGATATTACCACACTATACCATATGGTATTGGGTGGTAACGAAATATATATTGATATTACCACCCTATACCCTATGGTAATGTATGGTATTGCGTGGTAATGAAATATATATTGATATTACCACTCTATACCATATGGTATTGGGTGGTAACGAAATATATATTGATATTACCACACTATATCATATGGTATTGTGTGATATTACCACACTATACCATATGGTATTGGGTGGTAACGAAATATATATTGATATTACTATACTATGTGGTATGGTCTTATTTAATACCAGTAATTACCATATGGTACAGACTGGTAATAACTGGAAAAAAAATTTATGTCCAAAAAATATCAAAGTGGATATCATTTTGAAGAGCACAATTAATCTGATCTAACTGTGCAAAAAAATTAAATTCCAACTTAAAACGAGTGAGAAATCGTCCGTTAAAGATTAAGAGAAGAAAAATTAAAGATTTTTCGAGGAGAGAGAAGGAGGTGCTGATGTGGTCCGATCAAAAGTCAGCGTCAACAATAAATAGGAGTAAGTACAATTTTTACTTTCCTGCCCTTCCGCATTTAATTTAAATAAAAAAGGGGTCTGACACGTGGAGATCAGAGAAGGAGTTACTGATGGGTTACTGACCCATCGACATAATCTGCTCCCCGTTACCTGCTTTACCAGAGCACTGTCAAAATAACAAAAGGTGTTAAATATAGAAACAGGACTCGCTTGCAGAAGATAAATCAATTACATAAGAATGAATACGCAAGCAAGAAGCTAGACGATAATATCATTACAATAGAATTACACACATAGAAAGAAACTCGGGCTCCCCTTTACAACATTTCATCAATGGGGCGGTATGTTACAAAGGCTAAACTTAGGCTTAACTGTAAGAAACCAAAAAATGAAAATTGTACAAAATTTGGAATCCCCCCAGAACCCTCCCAAACTTTTCCCTCCTTACAACATCTTTTCCCCCATTTTGTTGTAACAATTCATTACAACATCACAATGTTTATTTACATTGCTCGTATTCATCTACTCTACAGTAATCTTCAGTAACGTGGTGAGTCTGGGCTTCTTGTATCGTCTCAAAAGTAAAGAAGAGCAAACGACGCTCACAGACGAAAGCGCCATGCAGGCACCGGCTGCCCACGGCGGTAACTTGATCCTCAGAGAAGGGAAGAACACTCCAGCGGCTATGGGTATCGCCACCACATTGTACACCATCGCAAACATGTAGTTCAGCCGGATACGAGCAAACGTTTTCCTCGACAGATCGATGGCAGTGATTACGTCCTCCAAGTTGTTCCTCATCAGCACGTAATCGGCAGCTTCTATTGCTATATCTGTCCCCGCACCAATGGCCATTCCGACATCCGATGCAGCCAGGGCAGGGGAGTCGTTTATGCCATCGCCAACCATGGCCACCGTGCTTCCATCCTTTTGAAATGCGCGGACCACATCGGCCTTGCCTGCTGGCAGAACTTCTGCTCTTACATCTTTAATCCCGACCTGCTTTGAAGAAAAACCTGTTTTTAGTTACTCTAATGCTAAAAATTTGTCAATTACCAATAAGAAACGGAACACACATACCTCTTTTGCTACTGCCCGAGCTGTCCGCCAGTTGTCTCCAGTGACCATGACTGGTTCAACACCCATCTTTTGAAGGCCTTCCACAACAACAGCCGCTTCTCTCTTCAAAGGATCTGCGACCCCCAGAACGCCAATCAGCTTGTTATCAAATGCAACAAGTATGCCCGTCTTTGCAGAATCTTCAAGTTCTACCACAAAGTCTTCGATATAAGCTGAGATTTCAATGCCATTGTCAGTCATGAGCTTCCGATTCCCCACCTGCTCCGCCATTGTAACACATTGTGTATAAGTATATATTAAAAAAAAAAATCCTACTTCATTCAGAAATCAAAACCAACAGCACTTGTTGCAACGTCTCCACTGGCCTTACCAAGACTCGTTTGCCATCTATACAGCACTTGACACCAGTCCCAGGTAGAGCAGAGAAATCTGAGACATTTAAAAGCCATCCGGACATTGTTGAATCTTTATTATGGTTTTCGCCGTCCTTTCTTGGAGAAGGCCCGTCAAAGAAATGAAAGTGCCGTGCATACTCCACTATTGCCTTTGCCAATGGATGCTCACTGCTGGCCTGGACCACGATAGAAGTGGGAAACCCTCAAGGCATCAGTCATTAATTTTCATACATGAGATTTGAAAAGAAGGAAAACGGAACAGCAAATACATGAGAAATGTTTCAGGCAGTCCGTTCATGTAATCATACTACAGAATGTCAAAGAAAAGCAAATTTACCTCGGCAGAGGCCACCCATCTGAGGAATTCTCCACGATCCATTCCTGTGAAAACTTTTGCAGTGGTGACAGTTGCTTTACCTTGAGTTAAAGTTCCAGTTTTATCAAATATCACATAATTAATCTTTTGAGCCCTTTCCAAAGCATCTCCTCCTTTTATCAACACACCATGCTTAGCCCCAACTCCAGTGGCAACCATCACTGCAGTTGGTGTTGCCAACCCAAGCGCACATGGACATGCAATTACCACCACTGATATTGAAAACATGAGAGAGAAGACAAAGAAATTGCCATTTTCCGGAAGCCACGTTTCAGGATAAGCTCCTATAGTTCCACCAATGTACCTACAAGGAATTCAAGAAAAATACTAAGCAAAGAATGGAGTGTTTCCAATTTACTGTCCCTCAGGAATAAGTAATCAAGATCTTACCAGCCTAATAATGTAATCAAAGACATGGCAACAACTGTAGGGACAAAAATGCTAGCTACCTGCCACAGAGAAAGAGATCTAACATCATGAACTGAAATCATTCATGAAACAATAACACAGACTCAAGTTCCACCAAAAGCGAAAAACACTTGATTCCTGCAATCGAGATTTTACGACAGCTTTGGGATGAAGGTGAAATAAAACCATAATCCTTGGTTAGATACAAGATGGATATCATTTGAGACACATCAGTTACTAACACCACCATAACTACTGCCACAAGATGGATATCATTTGAGACACATCAGTTACTTACAAAATCTGCGAATTTCTGAATTGGAGCTTTGGACATCTGTGCTGTTTCAACCAAACTAATTATCTGGCTCAGAACAGCATCAGATCCAATTTTAGTGGCTTTTATATGTAGCACACCATGTAAGTTAATAGTGCCACCAATAACTGATGAAGTAGCCTCCTTGAGGACAGGCTCCGACTCTCCAGTTACCATACTCTCATTAACATAACTTGAACCCCATACAACAACGCCATCTGCCGGAACTTTTCCTCCAGGAATAACTTTTAAAGTATCACCAGGCTGAATCAGTAAGGCATCTATTTCCCTTTCTCGCACATTTCCACCTAAAACAAATGATATCAATTAATTGAGAGAATAATTACATGATTGAATACGCAGATACATTGGAAATACAAACAGAATCAGTAAGACTGAGGAATGTTAAGAATACCTTTGTCTTTGTCAACCAGCAATGCAGTTGCTGGTGCAAGTTCTACCAACTTTTTGATGGCATCAGATGTTTTCCCCTTTGCAAGACATTCCAAATACTTCCCCATTAATACGAATGTTATCAGCATGGAACTTGTTTCGAAGTAGGTAGGAGACCAGAACCCAGAGGCAGCACCATATAGAAGGGCACAAACAGAGTAAACATATGAGGCGGAAGTTCCAAGTGCAACTAACACATCCATATTGGTTGAACCATTTTTAAGAGCTCTTGCAGCTCCTATATAGAAGCGCTTCCCAATTACAAACTGAACCACACTCACCAATGCCCAATTCAACCAATCCCCCATGAGGAACGGTCCACAACGCCAAAGTAGCACAGAATATAGCAGTGGTATATGAGGGCATATCACTCTCACGAAAAAGACGGGAATCTGTAACCAATGGGAGAAAAAGAGAAAAGAATTGTCAACAAAGAAGCTCTACTGCTGATTGGAAGAAGAAAACACAGGCAAGCAGTACTCACACTGAAAAGCAAGCTGGAAATGAAAAGTCTGAACATATTGGATGCTTCCTCATTATCTTTAGACGTCATTCTTGCATATGGGTTGATAACGTGTAATTTGAACTGGTCATTGCTCCCTTCCTCTATACCATCAACCAAGGATCTAGAGCTAATAACTTCAGGGTCAAAAAGAACTTCAAGTTCAGTGGATATCCTGTTGTAACGAAATCGCCGAACCCCTCTCGATGTGCTAAGTATTCCTTCCAAGAGTTGTGCGTCCATCTCAGTCATTAATCCACTAACTCCCACTATAATTTTGTCCTGCTGACTGCTCTGTACAAGTGCCCCTTCAAAACCGGCATCTTCAATGGCATTCACTATGTCATTCTTGTTAATTATCGTGGGATCATACTCAACTTCCCCTAAAGAAGTAGCCAGGGCCACAACAGCCCTCTTAACGCCAGGAAGATCTCTCAAAATACCTTCAACTGAGTTCACACAGGCTGCACAAGTCATACCTCCAATTGTGAACTGACCAACTAGGGTTTTATTGTTCGACTTTTTCTTCATTGTAGTAGGTTGAGCCAGAACCTCTGCATCAAACCCTGCATCTTCAATTGCATTCTTGACATCATCATCCTGATATGAGGAGTGAATGGTAGCAAGTAAAACTTCAGAGTGATTTCACAAACAAAATTCGTCAGCTTGTTAACATCATATCAGAGAGAGCAAAGCAATTATAGCCATAGCGAGATTTAAAAATGCACGTCTAAATGACATTCAGCACTGAATCATTTGGAGGGTTTTCCTCCAATGTCCTTAAAGTTTCTTACTTTGGGGGGTGTTTTCTGGCCATCAAAGGGTATCAAAATTATAACCGGTAGAGTATTAGCTCGCAATATAGCCCTAAACCACAGACAATTACTTGCAAGACACAAATTTGAATCCAGAAAGAGCATTAATACTCATCCCCAAAATAGAAGTCGCTGTCGATTTACGAAGACATAAAACAACTCCTCTCCAACCAAAATTCTATCAGAACTTATGCAATGATTCCATCAATAAGCAAGGAAAACGAGTGGGCTTCAAAAGCACTCCAAAGCAACACCAACCAAACCAGCAATTCCGAATTTAGAAAGGAAAGTAGCGTGCGTCCTCAAGAAAACGGGAAAGCGAGGGAAAAGAAAATTGAAGGAAACGGAAAAAAAAAAAAGTCTATCTGGGCCAACCAACCTTGACCAAGCTGGGGTCAAACACGACATCGGCCCTGTTCTGCAGCAGCGCGACAGAGGCCGAAACGACGCCATTGATGCTCCTGAGAGCTGATTCGACGGAATTGGAACAAGCAGCACAGGTCATCCCGGTAATTCTGACCTGAATCTTCCTCATCCTCCCCCCACCTTCCTTCTCGCCTTCCCCCGCCTCGATCGCATCATCGGACTCCCGATGCTCGTAGGAGTCCAGGAGCCTTACGTCCTCCATGTCACCGGAATCAGCGTCGCCTCCGCCGGCGACTCGAGCCAGCTGTAGGTCTCTCACGCCCGGCGACATTGTTAGCTGCCCCCGAGCAGGACCCCAATCTCGCTCGACAGGAGGTGGGAAGAAAGAGGGGAAAAAACAACAATTGAAATTGGGAAGGGAAAGGAAAGGGAAAAAGTGGAGAAGAAGAAGAGAGGAAAGGAGATTAGGGGGGAGAAGAAATAGAGGAGAAAGGGAAATAAAAGAGATACGGAGAGAGCGGGCGACAGAGAGAGAATAATCGATTGGAGTTTGGAGGGAGACAGAAAAAAACTCGAGGAGATATATGGGGAAGACCGGCAATAAATCAAATCAAATCAAATACAAACGCATTTTTTTTTTTTAAGTGGAAGAAAATTTAGGGGTCGTTTGGTTGGCGTATGGTATGGTGCAATTCTTGATCAGACCAAATTAGGGTAGGAGATGTGGGTGGTTAATTCGCGATATGGGAATATTTATTCATAAATAACTCGAATCAAAATTAGTAGGTGATTGTAGATTAATAATTCTTTTACCCGCACCTGTTTGGATGAACGATGGGTGAATTGCGAATTAAACGAATGACTCGCAACATATTTTCAGATGACAAAAGGTTGTTTCTTGTTTATACTATTAAATAGTCATCACCTAACGCACTCACCTTGGACTTCTAAAGATGGAAACAAATATTATTGGTTACTATATTGTGTAAATTGTAATGTATGTTAGATAATAGATATTATCATGCAAATTATAAACTAATTATTGTATGAAAGTCACACGTAAGTTTTTTTTAGGGTAATGACTATTTATTAGCAAAACCTTTTTTGGGTTTTTTTTTATTAGCCAAACCTATCCAAATGTTAAGAATTAGCCAAATGTTAACTTTTCGTTAGCAATTTTGTTAGTAATATTGATTTGGCAACATGATATTGACTTGGAAGAGACACATGAAGGTCAACCTTCCAAAACTTTAGTATTTTAACTAAGAACAGAGTTACAAAATTATTAACGATAACGTAAAAATGGCTAATATTTTGATGCATCATGAATAGAGGTGGCAATTGGATTGGATTCGTGGATTGGATTGGTGGATTCATGGATCAAATGGATTGGTGGATTCATGGATTGGTGGATTGATCCATGAATCCAAATAACATCCAAAGCTTGGACCAAAATGTAAATTTTGAAAAGTTTAGGTACTAAAATTTCATAATGAAAAATTTTAGGTACCAAAATCTAATTTTCCAATGATTTTTTTGTATAAAAATATAAATTTTAGGTACCAAATTGTAATTTGCCATTTGGATCCATGGATTGATCCATGAATCCATCAATCCAATTGGATTTGGATCAAATGGATTGGATTTAAATGGATTGGATTAAGTGGATAATTTAGTAAATGGATTGGATTGGATTCATGTATTTGGATCCTAATTGCCACCTCTAATCATGAAAGATTTGGCTAATTAATAGCATTTTAATATGTTTGGATAATATAAAAGAATCTGAAAAAGATTTGGATAAAAAATAGACATTACCCTTTTTTTACACAATTGGTTGGTGTAGTAATGAAAAATTTGATGCGAATACCACACGGATTTAGAGGAGACAAAGTGAGAAGTCTATGAATTAATACACTCTTACTAATTTGTGAGAAATTTATTATAAATGTTAGTCATCTTTCTTAACGACTAATTAAAGAATTGCTTTTGTAAGTTAAATCCATAACTTAGCTGCAATGTTGCATCCATCTGCCATTCATCTAACTCAATCTAAAGAAGAGTAATAGTGAATAGCGAGTTACAATAATACGAATCAGTAAACAGGTAGATAGACCAAAATCCTCTTAACCCGCCATTTCATTGCCCACCCCTTACCAAACCTTTACACACCCAGCACTACGAAAACAATCACACACCAAAAAGATAGCGCCTAAACCAACAAGAAAACGAGCGAGCGAGTGGGAAAAGTATTGAGGAAGGCTGTATTTTTCGTTGTTCATTTTCATTTTCTGTTATGACTTTTTTTCCTTCTCATTTTCTTGTTGGTTTGATCCAAGGTTGTCAACCCGTGGGTCGACCCGCGGGTTGACCCACTTTAACCCTGACCCGGTGAGAAAAACGGGCCGCACGCACCCACCGGGTCGACCGCTACAAGGTACCGGGTTGAAGGTTAAATTGTGTCGTTTTTTTCTTTGTTTTGCGAAATTCGCCTATTTTCCGATTTTTCTTTTCGCCTAACTTAATCTTTGGAATCCTAAGTTGAACATTTGAATATTAATGTTATATAAGTGTGTGTGAATTTTCACTATATGTTGAATCTAAGTACGACATGTTATTTTGGTGTAATATTATATGTTATAACTCATATGTTAGATGATATTTGATATAATTTAGCAGGATAAGTACAATATAGTGACGCTTCCCATATTTCCGGGCTAAAACGGGTGACCCATTAACCCTTAACCCACTAGTTCAACCGATCCGGGTCAACCCACTAGTTCAACCAGGTCCGGGTCAACCCGCGAGGTGACAACCTTGGTTTGATCATTTCTCGTCCACGGTTTTGCACGTTCAAATTACCGTTATATCCTCGGACTGTACTGCCAAGTTAGGTGGGTTTGTACTACAGACTAAATCGATTATGTGGGTCCCGGCGATGCAACAATGTCCTAGGGCACCACAACGGTGTGGCTGTCGCTTGCCGCCACCGGAAGGCAGGCGCACCTATATATGTTTTTACCTCAAATTCATCCGTACACATCTCAACAATTTTTATTTTCGTTTTCTTGTTGGGCTTTCATCAATTAATTCTATGTGTTCCAAGAAATCCTTCATTTGGTTGTATTGTATTTGTGGAATGGGTGCCAACTGCCAATGGGCGCTTTTTGTTTTAAAACAAAAACTTGAGAGCAAAAAATGCTTTCTTAATCTTTTATTACTAATAACTGTCAAGAACCAGTTGATCTCAATAACTCGAGTTGTTGGGAGAGGTTCAATCGTGAATTATATATTGTTTACTAACACCCCCTTCAAACTCAAGCCATTCAAATAGGTTTGGAGTTTGGACAGGCACAGGTCCGGACACCGTGTGCTTAACAGAAACAGATGGGGGTCACCGAGAATCGAACAGAAGACCTCACGGTCACAGAAGGCTCTGATACCATGTCAAGAACCAGTTGATCCCAACTTAGAGTATGTGTAGTACGAGTAGTATTGTGTTATACTACGAGTACTAGTATGTAATTGGGTAGAGTTATATTCCTTATTAGAGTCGTAGAAGTTAGGTTATTTCCCTATTAGTATTAGGGTTATTATAGAAGTCAGTCTTTGTACTCTATATAAACCCTATGTGGTGTCAGTAATAAGACACAACAGTTTCCACCGTATTTTCGATTTTCCAAAATGGTATCAGAGCCTAGTTCAAAAACCAAATCGAAAACCCCTAAGCTTTCTTTTCTTCTCCGTCCGCCACCCACCATGAGTCCCAAATCGCCCGGAATTTAGTTCTTTCCGTTCCCTGCTTATTCCTTTGCTGCTCCAATTATCATTAGTACTTCTCTTCCTTTGTTAGCTTCATTGGGAAATAAAACAAAACCCATGGTTTTGCCGTGTCAACTTTTGTTGCAGCCAAAATACCATATCCGCCTCGAGTTGTAGAGACCATGTGTAACTGCTTCCGCCTTCCATTCTCTTTGAGTTTGGTTGATTTATCAAGTTCCCATTGTTCTTGTCGGTTGAATGAAAGAATTCGATGTTGCTTCTATTGCATGTTCGGCTTGGGAAGAAAGGAGTCGCCAATAATCCAGCAACTTCCTCCTTTTGGTGTTTCCATCAGTAAGTCTCTCCCGGCCTGCCTTCGTGACTTGTCCTTCAAGAAATTTGGAATCTTGTTATCGTTCTGTTTTACGATGTTGTTCGGAACACCTTGGTTAAAGATGTTGTACGGAACATCTCTGTTTGATAAATGTTGTCTGAAGCATTTTTTGTATGTTTCTCTGTTTTGATGATGTTGTTCGGAACATCCTGATCGCCACGTGGTTGTTCGGAGCACATGGCTTTGTTTCTGTTTCGACGATGCTATTCGGAGCATCTTGACAGCCGTGTTACTGTTCGGAGTATACATGGCTTGGTGATTTGGTTTTCTTGGTTCGACGATGCTGTTCGGAGCATCTATGGTTTGTTTCGTGATAATCGGTTTCTGGAGCTTCTTTGGAGGACAAGTGTTTGGAACGAGAATGTAGTTTTGGCAAGAGATCGTGTTGCATCCATTTTATCACCATCGAGGTTTCACGTGCCATTGGACATGGTCTTCATCGACATCATCATATTTGGCGGAGCAGTTATGTTTTTCATTGTTTTGTTTTCGATCACATTGTTCGTAGTAATTTGTGTCATTTTTGTTTCGGTTTTCAAATTGTTGGTAAGTAATTACCATCAATTTGGGGAGGGTATTAGAGTATGTGTAGTACGAGTAGTATTGTGTTATGCTACGAGTACTAGTATGTAATTGGGTAGAGTTATATTCCTTATTAGAGTCGTAGAAGTTATGTTATTTCCCTATTAGTGTTAGAGTTATTATAGAAGTCAGTCTTTGTACTCTATATAAACCCTATGTGGTGTCAGTAATAAGACACAACAGTTTCCACCGTATTTTCGATTTTCCAACAATAACATGCAATAAGAGAAATTCTACCCAAAAAAATAAATGAGAGAATAATCTCTAACATATCGTTTGTTATAAAATGAATTCCATAAGTTTTAAAAAAATTAATTTTGAAATGAAATATTTTTGTGTTTGGTATATAAAAGAATTCATTTTTAATTCTAAAATTTGAATTCTACGGAATTAGAGCTAATTATAGCAATTCCGAAGAATTGAGATGGAATTTTCAAATGAATTCCACTAAGTATTGTATTAATTATGATAAAATTAAATCATTATATTTAATTATTAATTAACTTGCGCCAGTAAACAATTTGCGCGTGTAGCCCACCTCTTCAGCCTGTATATTAAATCCAATATATACAGCTTTGCGGTAATCGTCATAAACCCTACTTCCATAGGGCGCCTCCCAATTTTGTTGAGCTCCAAGCTGCGCAACTCCCTTCATTTGCTGGTCGCACTTCATTTGTTGGTGTTGTAAACTATTGGAGTTAGAATCCTAACTGCTCATTTTGCATGGCACTTTCATAGAACACCACAAGTATAATGCAATCAACACAAACCATCATTATACAGAACACACTTCAGGAATTGTTCCTTGTAAATAATGTGAATAGTGTGAGTTGAATATTATTTTGATTTGATGGAAATTAATAAAAGAATAGTTGAAAATTTTTAATTTAATTCAATTCCAAATGTATGTCAAACATGGTTTGAGATTCAATTCATTTCATTTCTAAATATTTGAAGATGACATACCAAACACAAGAATTCGTTTGAAAATGAATTATACATAGTAATTCATTTGAAAATGAAATTAATTCTCGATTCATTTGGTACCAAACGGTCTGTAAGAGGTGGTTTGCTTGTGAGATTTTAAAAAATGAAGGATTTTGGTAAAACCTTGGGTCGTTTGCTTCATGGATTTATAAAC